ACTATTCAGTGGGGACTCTTTCTTCCCCAGCACACTCTTAAACTAAACTCCCTCTTGAAAACTTGTAAGTCAGTCACTTCATGCCTTTATCACCCCTCATTTTAAGTAGTCAATATCTAAGTTTCCCATCCCTATCTACCCTGTATACAGAGGGGATAGCATTCATACTTGATATGAAGACTCCTTCCCTCTCTGTTAGTGTTTTGAGCTACCTACATCCGTAAGTATAGGTCAACTTCATCAAATTGTAGCAATTTCCCCTTGTTTCCTTTATCAATTGTTTTTTAATCTTCCTCTAGTGAGTTCTGATTATCAAGCCATCAAGGCTAGGTCAAATGGGTACTATCTGCAAATCTGGGTGTTCTTGTGTGGAACATTCTTAATAGCTAATTCTAATTCACTGGCGTAAGTATTAACTACCATGAGAATTCAATATAGATTCTAAGAAAATCACCTGAGTCATCCAATACATACATAATACATACATATGTATTTTTTAAATTTTAAATAAGGACATGCACTTGAATTTCCTTCTTGAACTGAGTATCAGGAACGTGACCATTTCCACAGGCAAAACCAGATTCAAATAAAGAGACCCTTATACTCTGTATTCCAAAGTTAAATTCAGTGCTCAACTGTACTCAGAAACTTACCCCAGGTGTTTCTAATAGCCACTAAAACTACTGGATACTTCTTTTACTTGTTTCCAATCTGTTTTCACTTGTCCTTGTCCATAAATTTTGCAAGCTTCCTCACATTTTGCTTTTTGGTATTATACGGGGCATATATTCTAAATAAATAAAAATAACCAGGGGTGCATTTTTCTTAGATTCAAAGGCTTAACGTTTGGCTCCATAAAAGTGCAACTTAGGTTGTAAAGAATACGGTGGTTCTTCAACTACGAGCCACATCGAGCTACTCAAGGCCAAGGGTAACTGGGTCCACTGCAGTTCCAGCTTCCAGGGCAGAAAGGTTTCCAGGTCCTGCCCATTAAACCTGTGCACACAAGGGGCTCTGAACATTGGAATTCCCACCAAACTTTGCACAGAGCAGTCATTGCTGATCGTCTCATGGCGAGCATGAAAAATGGGCCACCAAGGACTGCCACTGCTTTACTGGCTTGCCATCATCTTGGCATACATCTCTCAGAAAAAGGTATTAGGTGTTTGTAGTAATGGATGACAGGTGACATTCTTCTTTTCTGTGGGATGTTTGTTCTCACTAATGTAAAGCAATTTATACCAAAAATTTTAAGAATTTTTTGAAGTAAAAAAAAATGTGGTTGTAAGATAAAAATGGTAAAAAGAGTGTACAGTTATATTTTACCTACATGCAAAGGTAACTGTTACCTGTTTCTTGAGTATCCTTTAGAGACATTCTAGCATATTCAAACATAAAATTTTTGTACAGATCACTGCATATTATATTATTTCTGATTCTTGCACTTTTATTAAAAATATACAGAAATGTATACCTTAGAGATCACATTGTTGTTGTTTGGTGCCACAAGTTGGTTCTGATTCATAGCTACCATACACACAACAAAACGAAACACTGCCCAGTCTTGAGCCATCCTCACATGAATCCACTGCTGTTACCATCGTACATTTCTTCGTGTACCTTGGATTTCTTCCTTCAGTATCACTGGCTCTTAACCATATGCTACCTCTTGAAATGGTTGAACACAGACTTTTTGGTACAGTGATTCTGTGTACTCCTTCCATCTTCTTTTGGTGCTTTCTGCATCATTCAATATTTTGCCCAGAGAATCCTTCAATACCATAAGTTGTGGCTTTAATTTTTTCTTCAGTTTCCCCAGCTTGTGAAAAGCTGAGTGTGCTCTTCCCTTTTGGTTTTCTGACTCCAGATCTTTTCAAATTTCATTGTAATATTTGACCTTGTCTTCTTGAGCTAACCTTTGGAATTTCTGTTCAGTTCTTTTACCTCTTCATTTCTTCCATTTGCTTTAGCATCTCTACACTGGAGAGCAAGTTTCAG